TGGGTTTGCCTGTGAAGACTTGAGAGCATCATAAGTCAAGAAATTGTAGAGGGTAGATTGAGCAAATGCCTGAGATAATCGAAACTGACCTATAACTCACCAGCCACCATGGGAAATTCTGCAACTTTGCACACTTTGCTGCCATAGCTAGCAGTCAATTCAGGGCCACACAATCAAATTTCCAATTTGAAAGCTCAGAAATGCAGCATCATCTTTAATGATTCTTGGCAAAAGATACTCTTTAAAGAGATCAACTCATTTAAATTAAAACAAGTTGGGAGCTGTTGAAACTGAAAATTGAACACACGTGCAGGACTGTGGTATGCCCGGGGGGCATGGCCAACCTAAGAACAAAGAGACACCTCAAAGGGCAAGATAAGGTCACAGCTGAGGACACTTGGCCCCCACTCCAATTTACTAAATAAAGACTGTAGCAGAAGGCATTTCACTTCTGCAGTGAAATTCAACATGGAGATCTTCTCCTAAAATACTTCTCCAAAATTAACGTAAGATAGTTCTACTAGATTAAACATAACTTGTTACTTGTCAAAGTCCTTGAATCACTCCCAAGGAGTTTCCTGGATTGTTTGAACAAATAAATAAACAGGCTTCCCAGAGACATCCTTGTGTTAGCCACCAGAGCCTTGAACTCTGCAGAGGGTATTCATCCTCTTGGAGCCCTAAAATCATACCATTTATCTCATTTAATTTAAACCTTCAATGTCTACTCATTTAAGAGATTGGGAATCTAGGCTAGGTCTCTGAGAAAAACATGAAACCTAAAAATTAAGTGGAAAATTCTCAATTGTTAAAGTTTGGACAACCACAGAAAAATCATGGAGGCAGGAATATACATTTTATTTTATTTTATTGGTACCAGGGATCAAACTCATAACCTCATGCTTGCCAGGCAGGTGCTTGCACTACTGAGCTAAACCCCTGACCCCTGGAATATACGTACTTTTTAAGGTCTTGTTATATCTGCAAACATCTCAACAGAAACTCTATGAAACAGGAGAGCTAAGACAGAAAAAACAAACAAACAAACAAACTCACTAGGTCCTTCTAAAGGTGGGCCATCTGGATGAATGATAATTTTTAGGGTCAATTTGAACTATCATGTCAAGGAAGACTGTCTCTAACTTGATGGCAAATTTCATCTGCTCTATGACGTAGAACTCAGATTCCTATGGTATGCCAAGCTATTGGCTCTAGGTCTTCTCTCAATGCTAAATGAACAGAAAATGGATAAAGTCAGCCAGCATAGATTAGGAGTAGATAAGATGCTTTAATATAGTAAACTAAAAAGATATCTCTCATTGACAATCTAAAACTCATTCCGCAAGAAATTTCCAGAAGTTCAGGGAGCCATTAAACAATCTTTAAAGATTGTTTTAAATCTCTTCCCTCACTTCCCATCCACCCTGCCCTGTGTGTTACTATATGAATGACTGTCACAGCCCAGAACAATAATTTGCATCACCAGCCTTCTCATCCAGTTAGGACAACATTCTTTTTAGACCTCAATCCAAGAAGAGGAAGGCATTCCTTATCTGCAGCATACTCCAATAGATAGTCTTGAAGTACTAATGTGATGCTTATTATTAATGAACATTACAAATTCATAACTTGCTTTCCTTTAACACATGTTTTTAAATACTTAAGATGATAAATTTTATTGGATTTTAAACACTATTTTTAAAATAATAAAATTTTTAAAGTGCCAAATTCCTTCCTGCCTAATAGCCTTTGCTTTTACTGTCCCTTTTTTTAAAAAATTGTTTATTTATACATTTTAGGTATATATAATAATCACATTCATTATAGAGAATTTGCAGCTGTACATTTTATAACTTGGTTCTTTTTTTCCCATTCCCCTACCCTACCTTTAACCCCTCTTTCCCTACTTATTTACAAAAGCTTTGTTTCCGTTTTTTCTCATCATTTTTTATTCTTTTCGTCATACTCATATTCATGTCAAATAAATTGAACACACATGTGTAAATACTGCATTGTTTTTCTGGTGTGAAAATCCAAAAGTGTAAATAAGAACCAAGATATATAATAGAGATTGTAAATAAGAAGAGAATGTTCAAATGGGGAAGGGAAATAGGGAGGGGGAGGTGGAAGGAAGAAGGCACGTATTATGTGCAGTTTTATTTACTTTTGAATCAGTATCTTCTCAGTTTTTTTAGCACATGTTTCCATTATATAATGAACACAATCCTTGTGTAGCATTGCTATATATCTTAATTCCTTTTTTTATTCCTTTCCATCCCTTTTCCCCTTCCCTGCCCTCTTGATCCCCTTCTCATTTGAAAGAGATGTATCTCTCTACTGCCAATTATCTATCATTTATTTTTCTCTTTATTTATATTTTGAATTTCCTATATAAGACAAACTGAAATATTTAAGCCTGTGTGTGATTTATTTCACCGAACATTATAGACTCAGGGTAATACTTTATCGTGTATAAATATCACATTTTCTTTTCCTATTTATCTAGGTTCTTTTTATTAGCATATATTTGCATACATAATGATCACATTCATCATATGGAATTTATACCTGTACATAATGTATCTTAATTCTCCCCATTCATCTGTTGATCGACACTTAGGCCACTTCCAAGATTTAGCTATTATGAATTGGGCAGGCATAAACATGCGTATGCATGTACCTTAGTAAAAGAACCCTGACCCTGATCTTCATTCTTTGACTTTTCTCTTTTAAAAACAAATGTTAATCTTGTGTACTAAACTCAACATGCAACATGGTAACCCTCCTCCTACAGATGAAAGTGCATCTGCAAAATAGGACAAAAGATAAGCTTTAGTAGTTTTTATCCTTTTTCAATAAAAAAACTACTTCTGAGCCTTCCATTGTTTACCTCAAATCAGAGATTAACCTCCATCCTAAATTCTACTGCTTGACATGGAAAGTCATTGTGGACAGAGACTCAAGTGTTTCTAAGTATAACTGACAAACTGGAAAGTCCTTCAAGAAATTTAAAAAAAATGTGGAGGGCAAATCTATGCCCATGCACGCTGATGGAGCTAATATGGGAATCTAGGTCACTCTCTGGAAAGAACTTACTTGTTATTGAATCACATATGAAATGTCTTTCAGAACCACAGTGCTCCAAGGGTCACCTCGACCTCCCTCCTAAGGTAACTTTTCATTATCATGCTCTTGCCCACATTTTTCTTACAACTTTAACTGGAATAGAGAAGAAACTGTTTCAATAGCTTGGCACCTACTATTTAAGTCTAGTTCTAATCAAGGCAATGATAACAGTCTTGGCAGATATGTTTTCTCTACCTCTGCAGTTTACATGGGACTAAGGCTCTTTCACGGACAAAATAACGGTGGTAACAACAACAACTGGACAACGAAACAGTCATTCTGAATGTGAAATACGGTCAACTGAATGAACTGCCTTTTATGAGAATCACTGGTGATATTTATGGACAAGAAGCCAGGTATCTGAGCTACCTGCTTGCCAGGTGTCACGGTTTTATTATGGAGAGGAACACTGCAGAAGGCCCTCGAGAGAGTGTGCTTCCCACTAGTGCAGGCATTCACACCTTGGATACATGGATGTTCCTCTAGGGTCACACCAAATATGTATGACATGCTCCCCAATCATTGTGGGCCCCAACCCACTAATGTAAGAAATTACTTTTAAGCGTAGGTCAAAAGTTAACAGAGCTTACAGGCAAGTTTACCTTTCAAATAAAAGACAACCTGTGACCCAGGTAGGGAGACCCCTTTGATAGCACTCCCCAGTCTTGCCATCACAACAGGGTAATCTGGTATCCAATGATCTAATTAAGAACAAATTAAAACAATAACTTCAAATTTCTTGCAACAACCATGTGAAATTTCTGAAACTTCCCCAATCAAACCAAATCAAAAATAAAATGCATTTAAAGACACTTGGACAAACTCAGCATCTGTAATGTTACTATGGAAAACCAGGATGCTGAGTACCCATCTTTTGAATTGCAATATTAAACATATCAATATTCACAGAGCTCTTTCCCTATAGAGATGAGACATAAGAGTGGACAGGTCACATAAATGGGGTAGAATAGCAATTCCAAGCAGGGCTAGTACAAGGTATTTGTAGACAAAATTAAGTAGGTTGAGCCATTCCTCACCCTGAAGTTTCTACATTAGGTTTGCAATTAACCTAAGCACTGCTGTCACCTGTCACACACAGGGAGTGATAAGGAAAACACAGAAGCAAGCAAGTTCATCCAAAAAGAAAAGAAACCATAAGAAATGGCTAGGAGCTGTGGGATCTCCTGGAATGAAGATTTGAAGCCAAACAAGTTTACAGGACAAAACTAAGAATAAAGGAACTCAGAAAAAGCACCTATCTTATCTATGTGTAATGAGCATAGGAATGCTATAAAGATAAAGCCTAACATCTGTAAATGTATGCTATGGGCCAGGTGCTATAAATACATCTTATTTTAATCTCCAAAACAATTCTTGAAGATAGATGTCATTATTACTACTGCTGTCACTACTGAAGTAAGAAAAAAATAAAATAGAGCAATTTAGTAAAATGGCTCAGATCTGAGAACTAGTAAATGACAACACTGAACGATGCTATTATCCTGAGTTTATTTTCCTAAAACCACCTCTCACATACGGATATCATTTTTAAGGAAAACAGAGAGCAATAAAATATTCAATATATAACAGTGTGTCCCTAGTAAGAAACCACTGCAACCATAACTCTTCGTATACAGGCACACAGGCCTGGGGAGAAGCTTTACTTTACCTAACTTACTAGCTTGATGATAACCTGGAGAAGCCCAGAGGACACAGGTAACCCATCCTTTTAGCTGTAAGAAGAAACTGAACAGCCAAATGCAGCTTGACTGAGGGACTGAGAAAAGATGACAGCCAGGCTTTCAAAAGCTGGCCAGGCCATGGTCCCTCCCATGGGGTACCTTGAAAGGACTTCCATGAACCATGACACTGACCTCCACATGCCCGTGAAACTAAACATGGTGCTCACGCAGCGAGGGAGGGGCGGCGGGTGGAGTCCATCCAGACGCATGAGCAGTGCTGGGATGCCAAAGAGCACCAAGTATTTCACATAGAAGAAGAGCACCTGGGCCAATGCCAGTCCTCCTGAAAGGCAAAGACACCTGTCAGACACACCAGGGACAGATGTGACACCCCCAGAGCAAACAACCAACCCCGTTGCTCCTCCTCTCCTGTGTCTTCTCAACTCACATATTTAAAACCATATCCCACATTAATAAAATTAATAAAAATAAAAAGTTAATAAAATTTCTGGATTAACAAATAATAAAATCTCTTTTATCACTGTGGCAGGCAATAGGACCTCTCAACAGTTATGCTTTGATAGGCATTAGGTAAGAGAGGGCCTAAAACTACAGGTGGCATTTAAAAACTATTAGAAATAAAAAAAAATCTTTCCCAAATCCTTTAAACATCTGTATTAGCTCACACTCTACAGGAAGGCTAGAATGGAAAAGACAAATCAATAGGTGTTGGTGACGATGTGAAGAAATTAGGACCATCATACACAGCAGGTAGGAACGTAAAATAGTGTAGCTGCTCTAGAAAACAGTCTGGCGCTTTCTTAAATAAGAGTTTCCACTCTAATATATGTCCCCAAGAGAAATGCAAGCATGTCCATATAGAAACTTTTACTTGGATAGTCACAGGAGTATTATTCATAATAGCTAAAAGATATAAACAGCCAAACATCCACCAACAAAAAATTATAATGCATTTCAATGATGACAAACATTTTAGAGACAAGAGCCCAACTTGCAACTCAAAACCCACTTATTTATCACAAAGTACCCAAACAGCCATTAAACCTCAATACTGAAGTTTTAGTTAACACCTTTTGTCTTAAAAGAAAATAAGTCTTGCCATACATTTGCCATCACTGATTTTATCCATAAATTATTTCACCATGAAGGGAATGAGGCACTGACACATCCACGACACAGGTGAACCTTGATAGCATTACACTCAATGAAACCAGTCACAAAAAGCCACATATCACTTGACTCCATGTATATGAAAGATCAGAAAGAGGAAACCCACAGAAAAGGAAGAAGATTAGTGATTGTTTAGTACTTGGGGAAGTAAGGGATGGGCAGGTAAGAGAACACAGCAGGAGAAAACTGGCAGCTATTGGTAGAGTTTGTTTTTGATATGATAAAACTATTTAGTAAGTGTCAGGAGATGACTGCTATACAGATTTGTAAATGTACTAAAACCCTTCATGTGGTACACTTCAAGTGGATGAACTGCATGTTATGCAAATTATATCCCAATAAAACCATTAGAAAAAAATAAACAAAACACACTGCCCAAAGCACTGTGCTGCACAGCCAGTGGTCTCTCAGCTCTTCCTTATGGACCTTTTTCCTAATGAAGCAGGGCATGGGCATCAAATGCCATACAATCCTGGAGATGTGCCAGTTCCCCAGTGGGAATGACCCACAGCTCCAGGTAGGACCCGGGGGCTCTTCTCAGGCTTCCTAACTGATTACTGTAACCTCTTTGCCTCAGGAGGCAAGGGAAGGGTTGTGGCTCCATGCTGTCTGGATATCATCCACACTGCTTTTGTAGTCAGGGTTACTAGAACAATTACATATAAGACACAGAATTTATAATGCTATTTTATAATGGTCACCCAAAGTTAAATACAAGAAAGTACAGAAAATCTGTCCACAACACTAAAGACCCAGGATATTCAGCCAAGGGCCTGGATCCCATAGTAATGTTCCATGTGAGTCCAGCTGAAGACCTACAGCCCATGACAATCCCTCCTACAAATCCAACTGGAGGTCTAGAGCCCACAACAAGAACTCACATAAGTCTGTTTTACAGATCTGCACTGGGAAGGCCCAAAGGTCAGCGATGGAAGCTAGAAAGTCCATGCCAGTGGGGTAAAGGATCTGTGCCAGTAGGTTGAGGGTTCTACACTGTAGCCAAGAAATAGGACCAGAGCTACCCCCCAAAATACCACAGCCATCCTCAGGAACAATGAAGTCCCAGGCTCCTCCAACAATGAGAACAGTCGAGTAAATGTCAGGAAGCCAGCATGACAAGCTTCTCCTGGAGATTAAGTAGCATACATCTTCCCCTCCAGAGCTAGGAAGCCATGCTCAAAGGAAGGACAAGAGCTACCCTAAAGTGAACCATGGCCACTTTTAGCAACAAAGTCCCAAGCTCCTCCAATGAGAATGGACAAATTCATATCAGGGAAGCTAGCCATGACAAGCTCCTCCAGGAGAACCAATGGCTCGAAACAGCAACACTGAGAGAAACTCACAATGCCTTTTCTTCCTTCCCATGTCTCTTTTAATGCTGGCTACTTTCCTCAAGCGGGCCATCTACACTCAGCACCGTGCTGATTTAATTCACCTGGTGTTAAGTTGATCACCAGTTTTTAACCCATGACACTGGCCTTGGTTCCAAAGGAGGTGAGGCAGGTCCTCTTTGTCAATGAGAAGCCTAATGTCAAAGCATGGAAAGAAGCCCCAGAGGAGATGATCAATGACCATATGCCATCCAACCTCCCTGGTATGCAGGACATGTTGGTGCAGGTGACTGAGTAATCCTCTGAGATGGTCTAAAAAACATTATTAAGGCTCAAAGAGGAACTGCAGAAAATACTATCTGCCCAACTTGAGGCTCTTTGAAGTGATTCCCTATAATGGGGTATGTGGCTATAAATGGTAGCTCTGTATCAGAAGAAACCCAGAAGCCATTTTTAATATAAAATTTGGGGATGATAAATAGGTCAATTGTGAAAGCCGTATGTCCTACAGTGGGAAAAGCTACCAGGATACCTCATAAATTGCTATATCTTGTTCCCTTTCAGAGGTAATCAAACAGGTACTTCAGAGATGGAAAGCAGCCATGCCTACTAGAAAGGTTAGCTATGAACTTTCATCATTCCCAGATGCGTCTAATAGAAGTCAAGATAAAAAGCTGATGTGTATGTCAATACACAGTTATGTATGGGTATGTATATCTTTAATAGATAACACCATACACATCCATCAACAAGTGAGATATATCTGCTACCAATAGCATCTGCAAAGCATTTAAGGGCACAGGACTACTCTGTGAGTGGAGATGGAAAGGGGAGGGAGCTTTAAAATAGTCCAAAACCTAAAAAAGAGATAGTATAAAATTGGAGGAACTAAACAAAAAGAATCCCTGGATGAACAATATAAGAAACAAACACAATACATGAATCAGATGCAAAGAGATATACAGGAAATCAAAAATCCCATTGAAAGTTGTAAAAACCGCCTCAGTGACAGTGAAGATAGAATTTCAGACCTCAAAGATAAGATTACAGCTAGTGAACAGGAAAGGAAAGATCTTTTAAAAATAACAAGGAATCACGAAATAACAATTCAACAGCTGCAAGATGATGCAAAGAAAAACAACATAAGTTTGATAGGGATAAATGAAAAAGGAGAGGACAGCATAAAGGATGTCAAGAGGATATTTAGAGAAGTAATAGCTGAAAATTTCCCAAACGTGAGAACGGAAACTGACATCAGGATCAGTGAAGCATATAGAACTCCAAATAGCCATAACCAAATAAAGCTACACCCAGGCATATAATAATCACCATCCTAGAAATCCAACATAAGAGTAGAATATTAAAAGCTGTCAGAGAGAAAAGACAGACCATCTATAAAGGAAAACCTATCAGAATCACAGCAGACTTCTCAGCATAAACAACAAAGTCAAGAAGAGCATGGAGTGAAGTATTGCGGATCCTAAAGGAATATGATTTCCAACCTAGACTGATGTATTCTGAAAAACTGTCCTTCAAAATGGATAGAGAAATAAGATCCTTTATGACAAAGAATAGCTGAAAAACTTTATGATCACAATGCCAGCCCTGCAAAGAATACTAAAATATGGTCTAGATAAACTTAGGAAAAAACCACTAAGCAAATCAGACAATTAAACAGAAGGGAAACTTAACAAATGCAACAGCAGAAACATAACATGTCATCAACAAATATATAAATATACATGTAACAGTTAAAACCATTAAAGTAGATGCTCTCAGTGCACCAATTAAAAGAAACAGACTGGCAGACTGGATCAAGGAACAGCATCCAACCATATGATGTTTACAAGGAATTCTTCTAACCCAAAAGGATACTCACAGACTGAAAGTCAAAGGATGGAAAACAATACTTCATGCAACAGGAACCACCACCCCCCTCCCGCAAAAAGCGAGGGTAGCTATTATGTTTGCAGACAATGTGAACTTCAAACCAAGAATGATCAGAAGAGATAAAAAAGGTCATTACATACTGGTTAGGGGAAAACTTCAAGAGGAAGAAATAACAATCTTAAATACACATGCATCAAATTCCAGAGCATCCAGTTATATAAACCAACTATTAATAGAAATGAAAAACCAAATTAGCAATAACACAATTATAACAGGAGACCTTAACACACCATTGACACCGAGGGACAGATCAACTAGACAGAAAATCAGCAAAGAAATAACAGAACTGAATCACACCTGTGAACAAATCTAGAAAAGGAAGAGCAAGTCAAGCCCAAAGCCAAAAGAAAAGAGGTAATTATAAAGATCAGAGCAGAAATTAATGCAATAGAGACTAAGAAAAAAATCCAAAGAATCAATGAATCAAAGAGTTGGTTCTTTGAAAGAATAAATAAAATTGATAAGCCCCTAGCCAACCTTATTTTAAAAAAGGGAAGAAAAAGCTCAAATTCATGCAATAAGGAATAAAAAGGCAAAATCACTACAGACTAGAAACACAGAAGATCATCAATACCTATTTCGAAAACCTCTACTCTCATAGGTTTGATAATATAGACGAGATTGACAGGTTCCTAGAAACATATAAGGTACCGAAGCTAGGTCAAGAAGATGTAAAACTGCTGAATAACCCAATTTCTATTAATGAAATTGACAATGTAATTAAGTCCTTACCTATAAAGAAGAACCCAGGCCCAGACGGATTCACTGAAGAATTCTACAAGAAATACAAAGAAGACTTAATGTCAACCCTCTTCAAACTCTTCAATGAAACTGAAAGGGAAGCAATCCTTCCTAAATTGTTCCTAGAAGC